CGGCATAAGAACTGGTTATAAATTTATTATACGATTGCTTAACAACATTGAGAAATGAACATCAAACTTTTATGTACGTTATTTCATTTTAATACGCATTCAAAGGAATAATTCCTGTCAATTATACGCGCATTAAAGATATCTCACGAGTATGATTTAAAAATTTTATACTATAAATGCTTATACTATTATTTCATCGTTTCTCTTTATGATATTTTTACGCTCTCTTATGATTATTTATTAAAGTTCTCGTTAGCCGAGGAACGATAACGTTACTTAATAATCAAAATCTCTAATTCTTTAAATATGAAATACTTTTCATTATCTGTATTAATAAATTATTTAACTATTTGAATTGGCTATTAACATCAATACTTATTAAATTATTCATCTCGTATATTTTTCAGTATCTCTGGTAAATACTATTCTTTGAAAGATAAACAAAATTTAATTTTTAAATAAATACAATTATTAAAAGATCAAAGTGATTAGTCATTTTTACTCGGACGCTTTTAGGAGACTTCTATTTAGATTTTGCGCGGAAAAACTTATTTCTCTATTTGATTAATATAGAAAGTAAAACTGATGTATTTGCATAAAAGTAGATAGACAATACTAAACTTTCTCATCTGTGGTAAGGGTTAGTTCTTAAAGATTCATAACTTTTTGCATTTAAAATGTAGTCATTTTATTGCTAAGAATATGAAAATTTCAGTTAGAATTGAGATTAAAATTTAAAATTTAAACAAAAATTTTAAACTTCGTATTCTCTTTTCAGCATAATTATTTTAATTTTATAATATAATTTGATGTGCGCACGCGTATGCGTTTGTGGGTGTGAGTGAGTCTTACGCCTGAGCGCAATTTTATGACATTGAAATATTAAAAAAAAAAAAGAAAATATGAAACTAGTGAATCCATTAGCGTAAAGAAATAATTAGATGCTTTGTAATTTAAACGAATAAGCTCATTAAATCGTAATATGTCGGTGTAACGTTTATAATAATTCACCAAAACTGTAAATGATATTGATGATCGCTCTCAGCTTTTTCAGTTTAGCCAAGTGTGCGCGTGCGTATTCGAGTTCATGTAAATATGCATGCATATATATATATATATATATATATATATATATATATATATATATATATATATTAATTTATTTACATGCATAAACTCGACACTTGTACATTCTTTTGTTTACGTTTATTGCGTGTTGCTTATTCGTTAAAAGTAGCAACATCAACATGTGCATAAAAAATTATCTGAAATTCTAAATTACATTAACTACATTAACGTTAATTACTCTTCAGTAGCAAAATAATGTTTCTGTTCATTTATATATATATATATATATATATATATATATATATATATATATATATATATATATATCATTGTTATTTAACATTGACTTTTGACTGCTTATAATATCACTACCATAATCAAAACATCATCCGTTGCTACTTGAAACCGCGGAAATAACAATATTAATGATAATATATTAATAATAATTAATAGTAAATCATGTTAAAGATAATATGTGTAAGCTTTAATATGGCTGGGCTTTATCGTTAGAAAAAGTTAAAAATATATATACTAAAGCTAACACTCGATCATTTATATTTTTCACATGACGTAATACAAAAAAAAAGCATCATAAATATTTAATATTAAGTAATTCAATAGTAATATAATAGTTTAATGAATATACTAATAGGTTCAATATTATATTTATTAAGTTAACATTTATTTACAAATTTTCACACCTACGTTTAACAGCAATGGAAATATGTTGGAATATTGTAATATTAATTTATGTGATGTGCGCTTCTATTATATATTTTACATGTGAATAAATAAATTTTCTGGCTTACAATTTATTATATGCATTTTATTAACCAATTAGAATTAATATAAAGAAAATGTAAATCTCTGTAAATATATATAAAAATAATAGAAATTTATAGTATTTATACAGAATTTGTGAAACTTCGAGCTTTCTTATAAATTAAAATCTCGATAGCTTATGAAATAAACTATTTATAAAAAAAAGCTCAATATTTTCTCCGATCTTAAATATCCATACAAATAAAGTTATGTATATTAAACTGTTAAAAAAAATGCAATTATTTTTCTTAATATTAATAGCGGCATATTATTACGAAAAACACGAGCAATTTATAAAAATATCTCGGTTAGAAAATAAATGAAACCATTATTAATAAATTTTCCAAGATATATATCGATATTTCTTAAAAGTAATCTTAAAAGTTTTTGTAAAATATAGTTTCGTCAATCTTCAATTACAATAAACAATAAAAATGACAAAAAATAATTTTTAGTGGGGGATTTGAACATTGAAGCTTCGAAGAAACAATGTTTTATGGATATAGATAATGTAAAATAGAGAATTTTTTAAACAAACATGAATACGTATAGTAGAATGAAGAGGTTCGTGAGGATAATGTTTGACTTTTGTAGTGAAGGACGATACAACGTTACATATATTGTTGCATAAAATTTCATTTAGATTATGGAAGATAATCATAAACATTTAGATGGGTTTTCAAAATGTATCGGAATGTAGGTAAAGTCCAGGAAAAAATTTCGTTAGTTTCAAGAAATATGTAATACAATAAAATTATTGTACATATAAATTTAGTAAATGATTGTAATTTCATGTACCATCATTATAATATGTATATAGTTAATAATGTGAATGGTTTAATTAAGAAATTTATCCGATCATAAATTTGAAAAATTATATTATTAGTTAAAAGGAATTATCATCAGAAATAATGTGCACGTTATGCTAATTTAATAAAAATTAATATATATTTTATGTGTCATAATATGGTTAAATAATCTAATCGGAATTTATAAAAATTTCTTAATTATTCGGCGAAGAAATAATTATTTCATTAAGCCTTTAACATTTTCGAAAGGTTATTTTAAGTAAATAAATGTTGTTTTTAAAATAAATAACAATTTGATATCGACAGAGCAAAGATTTTTATCATTTCCCGAAATAATTTCATTTATTACGAATGATAATTATTATTAATGACCTAGACTTTAAGCGTGGCTTAAATTTGTCAACAATTTATGTAAAATTGTGAATTAAAAGGCCTTTGTTTTAATTATACATAGAAATAAACTGGGATTTTTTTTTATTGTATTGTTTATGTAATATTTTATTGCATTATATTTTTATAAAATAAAAATTCTATTCCTTATAGGCTGGGAAAAAATATTAACGTACTTAAAATTTTCAAGATCTAATCGAATTAAAGATTATGCAGATTAATTCATTAAAAAAATGTTATCTTGTTTTGGCGATAGTAGAAAGCGAATTTTCTCATATGATTATCTAACGTTTAAAACAATATATAAGTCTTGTATCATGTATAGAAATGATAACTGTAGAAATAATGTTAGAATAGGCAAATAATCTGTATTTGTACACGTAATAATATAAAGACATTCTCAAACTAAAGTTTTATCGCATTCTTTATGAATTATCTGAAGTGGATGAAGATTTTGTATTTCTTAGTTTCTCGAGAGGCGTCGTTAAAGTATAAAATTGAGTATTTAATATTTAATCCATAATTATATCGTACTAGAGTGCTCATTATTTTTTGTATAAATAAATTAACCGTTTCATAAAAATAAATCGTGATAAAATTTTCAATATTACAATAATCTTTTTATATATTATTTCACAACGATTAGTCGTTAATAATCTTATGATGTATAAGTTATTCGAGCTTAATTTTCAATTTATAAAAAGTATTATGAAGATTTATTTATTATTAGATTATTATCTTGATAGAACCATTAAAAAAATAATAACACTTAGCTTCAACGTTTCTGTACTTAAAGATTTTTGTTTTTTTGTTTTATTGGACATATACGTCCAATAAAGGAGAAAGCATTTACGTATTAATTTGCCTATGTGCTTATAGAGCAAATTGTATCTCACGTACATTGTAACGTGCGTAATGCCTACCGAACGCATAAAGTTTATTTAATACTAAAATAATGTTTAAATTAATAAATTTAATGTTTAGTTAACGTGTATATTCATATATCACCAAATTCTTAATAGTACATGCAAGTAAGAATGATCGTTGGGAATTATATTTTTCATTTGTTGTGAATGTTTTCCGGTAAATTCAAAATCTATTCAATAAGTTAATACATTGACGTATTTATATATACGCTTCAGTTAAAATATTCCTTTGTGTATGAAAATTATCAATTATATTGATGTGCTGCGGTACATTTCTTTCTACACTGCAATCAACTATTCAATTGTATTGAATAAAAAGCCGTTGTTAAATTAAGTTGTTAAATTAAATACTCAAGGTCCACCTGTGCTCAACAATTCAATGGCCGGTTAAAGGACGCTTTTCGCTAAATGAAAAGTTAGTAGTTCTCCTATTATTTAAAGCAATGTGAGCTTAGTTAAAATTCTACCATCTTATTTGTAATAAAATTTAATAATAAAACCTTACACACTTTATAGCAATTAGTATGTCTTTTAGTTAATTAGTAGCCAGGTAAGTTAATTTTGTCATTGTGTTCATCATTTTAACCGGAAGATTACATTATAATCTACAGCTAGAGAAAATAACAAACGAAGAACAAATAAGTTAAGCTATAACTACTCCATTATTGGCCGTCTGTTTATATTCAAAATTTGGCTTTCAAACACTGTAGATAAGTTTCTTTCTTCTTCTTCTATTTATATATATATATAATATCCTTGCGACATATTATATCAATTAAATTAATACTTAAATTATTTTATAATTTATAAACGTCTTGTTCTCTCGCTTTAACTATATACAAGGGATTACGAAGTAAGTCGGTAATGGTGGATACTAGTTAATCAACGGGGATAATAACTTTGAAGGGAACTTCTAGGTGTGTGATCAAATGATTTTTTAGTTCATGGTTAAACTGGGAACTAAAATTCGTGTTGTGAAAATTTGATTGATAAACGGTGTTGTGTTTACCCGGCACAAGTATTTAAAAATAATTGATTTTCTTTAAATTTTTGTATTAATTAATTTATAAGTGGTATTGATATTTTTTAAATAATTATTTTTATCATTAGGAGAATATAAGTTGTACAAAATGAGTCGCAGAAAACGTGCAAAGGTAAGTTATATGAAATAACCTATAAAGAGTTCGTTATTCAATTTTAAAATTATGTGAAAAAATATTAAAATTTATGTTTCATTTATTAAATTATTAATTCTGTGATTAATTGCTAATATGTTGTCGTCGATGAAGTATATGAAAGGAACGGATTTTTAATACAATTAATTATCATTTCTCTAATATCCATACTTTTATCTTTATAACAAACAAGAGTTGAAAAGAGGCTTAACAATTTCATACAATCATTCTTGATTGAATGTATTTATATCGTGTATATTTTAAAGAAATTTTAAGAGCAGCAAATTAAATAAAAATTGGCGCAAAGGAAAGATCAATACATCGATTAAAAAGTTTAATTAATTTTAAGGTTGAGTACAGGGAGATGGAGGAAAAATATAATCAAGCAGAAGATGAGAATGCATCTGATAATTCGGAGAAGTCAAGGACAGGTCAAGGTACCCCAGAAAAGAAAAGCATAACAGAAAATAAAAAGGAAATTGAACCAATGTCAAATGCCCCGGTACCTTCAGTCTCAAAACTCGAGGTGAAGGAAGAGGAGGACCAAGATAGCGATCACGAAGACCCACATGGTATTCAATTATTTATTAAATTATTTAATTTGACAATATTTATATTAATATAAGTTAACCACTAATAAATCGTCTTTTGTCTGGTAGTTAAGGAATTATTGAGTGGTCTAGAAGGTGCAGCTTTTCAAAGTCGTTTACCATTTGATAAATTAACTTCCACAGAGGCAGCATGTTTTTCAGATGTTGCAGGTGGACCGCCGCAAACTCAAAAAGTCTTTCTGCATATACGAAATAGACTCGTAAGTTATGATTTTTACCATATTTTGCCTCACTCTTGGGAACGAAAATTCTGATTATAATTATTAATAATTAATAATAATTTTTTAGCTACAAATATGGCTAGAAAATCCTAAGCAACAGTTGCTAATTGAAAACTCATTGCCAGCTATAGAACCACCTTACAATAGTGATCCGATATTAGTACGAAGAGTCCATGCTTTTTTAGAAAGACATGGATTTATAAATTTTGGTGTTTTCAAACGACTTAAGGTAAATCAATTTTCTCGAGGCATGCAAACTAGAAATTTATTTACCATCATGTTGCTTCTATGTATCATTTATTAATATAAACTTTTGTTTGTCAACTGTCTAGTCATTACCGACAAAAAAATTAGGTAAAGTAATTGTCATTGGTGCTGGTATAGCTGGTTTAGCAGCCGCTCAGCAAATGCAACAATTTGGTCTTGAAGTTATCGTATTAGAAGCCAGAGTGAGTAATTCATTTTTATTTTGAAATTCAAATATTTTGTTTTATATACATTTATATAAACATTTGGTCGAATGTGCTTTAATCTCCAAATAATTATGTAATATTTATGTAACATTATTAAATCGAATGGATTAAAAACGTTTCGCTATTTCAATGCCAAGTAAATGATTAATATTGTGAAAAAAACTTTTTGGCATTAGGATCGAGTTGGTGGACGTATAGCAACATTTAGAAAATCAAATTATATCGCTGACTTGGGTGCAATGGTTGTTACTGGCTTGGGAGGCAATCCTGTTACTGTTTTAAGTAAACAAATAAGTATGGAACTTCATAAAATTAGGCAAAAGTGTCCTTTATATGAAAGTGATGGTCAAACGGTAAATATTTCATTTCATTACGCAATCTTTATTAAAGGATTATCAAAGGAAATAATATTAAATGAATTTATAAATATTAGGTTCCCAAAGATAAGGATGAAATGGTCGAAAGAGAATTTAACAGATTGTTGGAAGCCACGTCCTATCTATCTCATCAATTAGATTTTAATTATGTCGGAAATTCGGGAAATGGTGGACAAGGTAGTACAACGCGACCTGTATCACTAGGTCAAGCATTAGAATGGGTTATTCGACTGCAGGAACAAGGTGTTAAGCAACGACAAGTAACTCATTTGCGTTCTGTATTGTCATTGCAGGGCAGATTAATTGCTAATCAACAAAAAGTAAATATATTTAACATTACAATTACCATTCTATTAAAGTAGCATATAAGTTTAACGCAATTTATTATATAAATTTTAATGAAAATTAATTTTGTTCTTAATTCAATTCTTAATTATATAAACATTTGTTTATATAGTTCGAAATTTTCACTCAATTTCTCGATTTTTTCGTAATTTCTTAGATTTCCTAAAAACACTAATAATGCAAGTAATTGCAACTATTTTTTATTTTGCTTAGATGATAGCAATCAAAGAACGCTTAGCAGAATTGGACAAACAGTACAAAGAGATGGTAGATAATAAGCAGCTAAGAGATATAACACAAGAATTCGTTTTGCGCTCTAAATTACGCGACCTTCATAATGTTTGTAAAGAATGGGATCAACTTTCTGAACAACAAACAGAAATTGAAGCCAAGTTACAAGAGCTTGAAGCTTCCCCACCAAGGTACAGATCAAATTAAATTAAATTAAATTTAATCCATGATTTATTACTAAATATCATTTCTGTCCATCCTATATATATTCATACATGTAATGCCTCATCAAAAGAAAAAAGAAAAAAATCCCTTTTTTGAAGAATGTGTGTATATATATATATATATATATATATATATAAATTGTCACTGTTCTTATTTATTTTTAAGTTTTAAGCTAACTATTATTTATTTTATTTAAATTTTTTAGTGACGTGTATTTATCTTCGAAAGATCGGCAAATTTTAGATTGGCATTTCGCAAATTTAGAATTTGCAAATGCTACGTCACTTTCAAATCTTAGTCTCAAACATTGGGATCAGGACGACGATTTTGAGTTTACAGGCAGTCATCTAACTGGTAAGTTTGATTCTATAAATAGAAGTAGTAGTAGTAGTAGAAATATTTACTTATTATAGATAATTGAAATATGAATTTTAGATATTGAAATGAGAATTTTACCATGTTTTAGTTGAAATATGTCGTTTAATAACCTTAAAACTTGATTATCTTCATTATATTAATTAAAAATTTATATTTTTTTTTTTTTTACGATTTTGTCAATGCAATTTAATATGGATATTAATTAATACTAATTATAATCTTCTTAAATTGTTGTATAATAAAAATTATAGAGAAATATTAATATAAATACTTTTAAGTTATAGATTTTTATGAATAAATAGATGTTAGATGACTAAGAGAAGAGGTAATTTTAATTATAAATTGATTTTACGTATAGTTTTGTTTGTAAAATTTTTTGCAAATAAACATTTAGAGTACATGGAAAATTGTGTATAATTTCCTTGTCGAATTCACTATTTTGATAAATAAAAAATCTTATCTATACTAATAAAATTTTTTTAAAAATCTTGTTATAACACTGCTCAATTAGTTTTGTAGTTTTGCACATTGAGTGGAAATGTCGGACAATGAAATAAATTATATATACTATATCAACTTCACTGTAATCAATTAAGTCTTATAGTTTATAATCGTTTAAATGTACGCATATTATAAGAATTTCATTCATTGTAACGTCAAGTAAAAGCTTTCAATCTCGATGCATTTCTTTAATTAGTATATGATAAATTAAACTCTTTATGTTATAAAATGTTCATTAAAGTTAAATGGCTTTAAATTTCTTTTCTATATATATGAGATAAATTTGCACATTGTAAACATCAATTAAATCCAGTTATAGACTATTTTTCATAATGCCCTGTACAAGTAAAAGAAATTCGCAGACTCATAAATATAAATAAATATGATCATATGTTTTCCCTTAGTTTATGCTTTAACATTATGTACTTGCTCATTTACATAGATTTTATGGATTAAAATGAAGAAACAACAAGTATTATCAGAATATCTATTGTTTTATAACGATAATGAATAAATTTACCGTTCTACGTAATATATTCAACTATATGGTTGCAGATTACATATCGTAAATGCTACTTTTTCCCCTTAATAATATTTATATACTTAATAGTCATTTACTTATCGATTTGCCCGTTAAAAGATTCATGAAAATGTTATATTTCATGCAGTAATGCATTACCTATAAAATGTCGGCAAACAACATATTTTTAATTTATGATTATATAACTTATTAAATTCAATACTATATTAGTTCTGTATATGTAAACACACCTTTATAAGTATTTTATTTTTTCACCGGGCATTTACCGTCTCAACAAGGTGCACGAGAACAATTATTTCGTAACCAAACATCATATCGAATAACATTATTGTTTTATTGAATTTCAATTTAAAATGATGTTTTCTGCCAAGCTGACTGAATAATTTACTTACGAATAAATTAAGTAATAAATGGCTCTTATCATATTATGTAAAAATAACGCTCAACATTTCATTAAGGTATTTCATAAAAATAATATTTTTCATCGTTCATCAAAATTTCATCAAAGAAAATATTTTAGCTTTGTACATAATGGTAAATTCAAAGCCACGCGATGGTGTTTTTGTAATAACAATTTCTCAACTTAGATTTCTCATTAGATATACTAAGAGATTAATAAATTAGTTTCTCTTTATATAAAAACAAAATAAAATAAAAAATAAAAGGCTCAAAGAGAAATATGAATGCTATTTATTACGTTATTGGTACACAGTATGTTTCCTCCGAGAGGCACGAAAAAGGAAATAAATGGGAAAAGCAAAAATAAGAGTAACAAACGTATACTATTCGGATTTCTTTAGTTATTAGATCTAATTATGATTAGATTAACAGGATTAACAAAGGATTATATTGTATTATTGATAATGTAGGTGTGTTTATTATTATGTTATAAAGGACGGTGAACGTCGTTGGATAAAATGTAATATTTATCGATGTCAAAACATAAAAAAAAAAAAAAGAAAAAAAAGAAGAAAACATTTTACTTCGGCGAGCGGCAATATTTTATATTATAAGTGTCATATCGTATTTAGAATATTTCACGTCTATCTGCTAAGGAAATTCCCATATTTATTTACATGAAAAATTTCGTAGTGCTTTTAAGGCTTGCAAGAAGAAGAAATTTAGTCAGTGAATTGGATATTTTAACGAGGCTTTTAAAATTTTTTTTTTTATTTTAACGTGTGCAGAAGATGGGGAGCTCGACTTTCGCACTTCCAGGCAATCCTTCTTAGCGAAAACCTTATCATTACACGAACGGGAATTTAATTATAATAAAAATTGATAAGTCTATTTATGGCCGTAAATCTGTAACCATTAGAACTGCGTAAATTGTCGGCGCGTTAACGAAGACAAGCGCAATAAGTTTTATTTGAAAATTTAGCCGAACCATCGTAATTTACAGCCTCGAAATGTCGGATTCTCAACCTCGCATCAATTTAACAATTGGGCATGAGCTCTCGAGTCGCTTGACAGGTGTAACGAGGAACGGTGTGGGGGTGGGGGTAGGAGAAAAAATAATCAAAAACCAACGAGAAACAAAATACAAAAAGTAATGAACGAGAGAGAGAGAGAGAGAGAGAGAGAGAGAGAAAGAGAATTAGAGACCACCCCTGGTATCAGGCGAGCGCTTTAACCTTAATGGAATAATGATTTATGCAGTGCGAGCGCCGATAGGGCGGCCAAGGATATTCCCCCGTTTCGTCGGTATTATTTGCCTGGCCATTTAAAGGCCGGGAAGGCGCGTTACAAGGCGCGTCACAAGGCGCGCCAAGGAATTCCAGTTTCGAGCTTTTGACGTGCAATCACTCCGGCCCGTCAAACGCTAAACAAACCTCATTAATAAGCGCGCGAGGCGCTGAAAATTAACGATCGTCAAAGTCAATAGTGCCCGGTCCTCCTCGGCATTATCGTCTCGGCCGAATCTCAATGGGGTGAGTAAAGGGCGCGGGCGGAGGACGTGAGACGCGAGACGGGGGTAGGTGGGACGGATGAGGACCACGACGGCGGAGGGGAATATTTCCGCTGTCGCCGGGAGCTGGAGCGCGTGTGTACGTCAGATGTGGGCCCTTACTTAACATTCTCGCGCTGAGCGCCCGGCAATTTACACCCTCCCTCCCCCCTTTTTGCGGAGAGATACGAGGCGAAGAAGAAGAAGCCCAGGGAGCGAAGACAAACAAAAGGAGCTGAGGGAGCCTATAAAATTATCCGGCTAGGCGCGCTCCCATACACTCGCGGGACTTAAATTACCCGAGACGCGGGCGATCGATCCCCAAGGGCGCGGGATGGATGGTTGGTAGATGGTAGATGGGGGAGGGAGGCGGAGGGGAAGGCGGAGAAAGAAACAAAGTCATCCTCGAGCGGCCCGAGGAGGGTTTCATCGGGCCCCGCGAAGCCCGCCTCTTTTCCAATTGTGCATGTAGAGCCAGGACACACATCTTCGCCTTGGTAGATCCGCCTCGTAGATGCCGCTGCGGCGCGGAAAGATGCCGTAGATAACGCGTGAATTATTCGCCTCGGCGGCACACATCCGCTTTGCATGCCTCCTAACCCCCATTAGCGCTCCTCGGGTCCCTCCGACACCGCGAGAGCCACCGCCGACGCCGTCATCGCCGCTTATTATCAATCTTGGGTTTGGGGCCGCGCGCCAGATGTCGCCCGGATAAGGGCGTCGTACCCGGGGACTGGCAACAGAACTTAAATTTGGCATTACTGTGCTTAAGAAGACTTTCAGTGCGCGTTTAAAACGTAGTTTCTTCTTCTCTCCACTCTTTGTCTTACTCCCCCCTCCCCCATCCCCCCCCTCTCTATCCCTCCACCCCTCCACCCCCTACCCGCGCTCTCTATCTCTGTGACATTTGCTTGGCAATACGAGTACGTTGCACTTTCGCTACCTTTTTGTCTTATTGTCATCGCAGGTCCAAAGTTTTCGTGCGCTATCGTTTAATTTTCTTGCGCTCGCTCGTTCTCCGACGATCTTTCAAAATGCTAATTCAAGTACCTTTTATGGCGGTATTTTCAACGTTTTTTTTTCTTTTAATGTGTTTTTTGGAGTCTCGTGATAAGAATGTCAGCGGAAGTAAGCATCTATTATTTAGAGATTTGGTTAATTGGTCGATCAAGTCGGATAATCAAATACAAATTTATTGTGTTGACAGGGAGAATATTGAGAGTATCCGTTTGTTGAATTGATATGTTATTGCGCGTCGAGTGTTGGCTTTCAGGTCTTATTTGTAAATCGCGCTATGTAAAGTGCTTGCTAAAGTTGCTAAACTAACAGCAAAATCGATTTACATAATCATTGTTTAAAATTGTTTTATTTTTCGTAAATTACTCTACATTACATTACGGTACATCACAGCGAGTAATATTAATCGCTGTTTCTCTTGAGATTTTTTACTCTTTACAATAAGTCTGCTAATATTGCTTATAAAGCATTAAATATCATTACACTTAGACTTTGGATAAATATTTAAGTATGAAGTGTATTTTCAGATTAATCGAAGAATAATAAACTCGACATTGCCATTGTAATTGTTATTTGCAAATATTATAGAAATCAAATAATTTTGAGCTAAGGTTGCCACAATTTTGCTGTTTGATCTGCAGTGTATTCCGATGTGGAAAGCAAAGAGGAATATGAGAAAAAAAAAAATGAAAAAAAAAAAAAATCAATCAACCAACACGATGAGTTTATATGAATTAAAATTTTCAGACGAAATAATTTTAACAAGGTCAGACATTACGGTATCTGCCAAAGAAACGTTATGGCGGCAATACAAAAGCGTTAATCTTGAAAATTAAGCTCGCAAAATTTTTACACTGTAATTTACTCCGAATTACACCAAGAATATCCGTATTTCATGCGCGTAAAAAACCATTCACGTGTCACGGCCGTTGTTATGGAATATTACGCGAGGTTAACTATCGATGAAATGAAGTTACGTCATGTAATGAACTTCGTTGCACAGGTGCTTTCGTTTATTTATTGAAGCTTTGCCAAGTTAATTCCACAGCGGCTTGTACATCTGGTCAATTATATCTGAACTTCAT